GGCAGAGATGGAGGTAGCAGAGATGAGGATGTTGAGGTTCTCTTTAGGAGGGACCAGGATGGACAGGATTAGGAATGAGCACATCAGAGGGACAGCTCAGGTCAGCTGTTTTGGGGACAAGGTCAGAGAGGCCAGATTGAGATGGTTTGGACATGTGCAGAGGAGGGATAGTGGTTATATTGGTAGAAGGATGTTGGAGATGGAGCTGCCAGGCAAGAGGTCAAGAGGAAGGCCAAAGAGGAGATATATGGATGTGCTAAAAGAGAACATGAAGTTAACTGGGGTGAGAGTAGAGGATGCCGAGGATAGAGTTAGGTGGAAACAGATGATTCGCTGTGGCAACCCCTAACGGGAACAGCCGAAAGAAGAAGAAAAAGTATTCCACGGATTTCCATCCTGAATAACTGCAGAAAACTGTATAAAAAAATCTCCAGAATCCATTTGGGCCTGGTAATTACAGTAGATCCAGAGGTACAGTATTTAATTGAAGCCATCACTTAACACAAGGTCTTAACAACCTTTCACTTTTCAGGCCTTATTCCCATGAGGTGTTACAACAGTATCTAAGTTGCTCTAATGAAAGAAAGTCACTTTCAGCTTTTCCTGTTTAGGGGTCACCACAGCGCATCGTCACACTGACGCATGTTGATATTTGGCACGTGTTTTACACTGGATGCCCTTCCTGATGTAACCCTGGTTTGAACCCGCGGCGCTGCGGCGAGAGCACTGCGCCTTAACTTCTAGCCTACCAGGGACGGGTACTGTAATTAAAAAGATATGTGTAACTGAATAACTGATTTGCAAATCTGAAAAGTTATGCACTTCAGAGACGGCTGACAAGACAACAAAACAAACACCTACAGTGCCTTGCGAAAGTATTCGGTCCCCTTGAACTTTGCGACCTTTTGCCACATTTCAGGCTTCAAACATAAAGATATAAAACTGTAATTTTTTGTGAAGAATCAACAACAAGTGGGACACAATCATGAAGTGGAACGAAATTTATTGGATATTTCAAACGTTTTTAACAAATAAAAAACTGAAAAATTGGGCGTGCAAAATTATTCAGCCCCCTTAAGTTAATACTTTGTAGCGCCACCTTTTGCTGCGATTACAGCTGTAAGTCACTTGGGGTATGTCTCTATCAGTTTTGCACATCAAGAGACTGAAATTTTTGCCCATTCCTCCGTGCAAAACAGCTCGAGCTCAGTGAGGTTGGATAGAGAGCGTTTGTGAACAGCAGTTTTCAGTTCGTTCCACAGATTCTCGATTGGATTCAGGTCTGGACTTTGACTTGGCCATTCTAACACCTGGATATGTTTATTTGTGAACCATTCCATTGTAGATTTTGCTTTATGTCTTGGATCATTGTCTTGTTGGAAGACAAATCTCCGTCCCAGTCTCAGGTCTGTTGCAGACTCCATCAGGTTTCCTTCCAAAATGGTCCTGTATTTGGCTCCATCCATCTTCCCATCAATTTTAACCATCTTCCCTGTCCCTGCTGAAGAAAAGCAGGCCCAAACCATGATGCTGCCACCACCATGTTTGACAATGGGGATGGTGTGTTCAGGGTGATGAGCTGTGTTGCTTTTACGCCAAACATAACGTTTTGCATTGTTGCCAAAAAGTTCGATTTTGGTTTCATCTGACCAGAGCACCTTCTTCCACATGTTTGGTGTGTCTCCCAGGTGGCTTGTGGCAAACTTTAAACGACACTTTTTATGGATATCTTTAAGAAATGGCTTTCTTCTTGCCACTCTTCCATAAAGGCCAGATTTGTGCAGTATACGACTGATTGTTGTCCTATGGACAGAGTCTCCCACCTCAGCTGTAGATCTCTGCAGTTCATCCAGAGTGATCATGGGCCGCTTGGCTGCATCTCTGATCAGTCTTCTCCTTGTATGAGCTGAAAGTTTAGAGGGACGGCCAGGTCTTGGTAGATTTGCAGTGGTCTGATACTCCTTCCATTTCAATATTATCGCTTGCACAGTGCTCCTTGGGATGTTTAAAGCTTGGGAAATCTTTTTGTATCCAAATCCGGCTTTAAACTTCTCCACAACAGTATCTCGGACCTGCCTGGTGTGTTCCTTGTTCTTCATGATGCTCTCTGCGCTTTAAACGGACCTCTGAGACTATCACAGTGCAGGTGCATTTATACGGAGACTTGATTACACACAGGTGGATTCTATTTATCATCATTAGTCATTTAGGTCAACATTGGATCATTCAGAGATCCTCACTGAACTTCTGGAGAGAGTTTGCTGCACTGAAAGTAAAGGGGCTGAATAATTTTGCACGCCCAATTATTCAGTTTTTTATTTGTTAAAAAAGTTTGAAATATCCAATAAATTTCATTCCACTTCATGATTGTGTCCCACTTGTTGTTGATTCTTCACAAAAAATTACAGTTTTATATCTTTATGTTTGAAGCCTGAAATGTGGCAAAAGGTCGCAAAGTTCAAGGGGGCCGAATACTTTCGCAAGGCACTGTATAAAGCACTTGAACACAGCCGAGGCCAACAAAGTGCTTAACATAAGATACAATTCAAAACATCTAAAAACGTGACAACTACAATATTAAAATACCAATAAAATAACATAAAAGAACCAACATAGCAGCCTAGGAGTATGGTTTTCTTTAAAATACATGCATATTGCTGTAACTAATAAGCTATTCCTGGCATATGTTTGAAGTTCACTGGGGAAAATACTATTACCTTATTTTTGTGTATTGCGGTTTTAATACTTTGTTGCCTTTATGTAACTTTTCTTATTTTAAGACTAAGTGTTCGTTCTGGCTTTTGACTCCTTACCTGACTCCAAAAGAGAGCTGCACAAGAATTCCTATATGCCTAGACTGTCTATTTATGCATAAATGGCAAATACAAATCTTGACCTGACTTGACTGATATGTCACATACGTATGACCACTTGCTATTGCATGTAACATAAATATGTGACTGTTCCACCGGACACAACCAGAGAACAGTTCAGAGCTCCCTCAGTCATGCACAGCAGGTTATCGGTAACAGGAATTGTGTATAGTAGGGGCTAAACATATCTAAACTTCCCCTCAGTCTGGCAGCAGCAGAGTACTCCGAAGCAAATTCAATCCAAAACTGATGCTTTGATGATGAAAAATAAAAAGTGTGCATCCTATTAATACTCCAAACATGTTTTAAGGCATGTTTTACTGTCTGTCTCAATGACTGATGATGTCTATTGTGTCAGTCACAATTTTCTATTCTCTTCATCATTTCAGGGCAGATGTGGGACTGCCCCGTCTTTCTACAGTGACTGTTGTTTCTGAAATGGAGAGACCACTTTGAAATGACCTCAAAGACATTTTTAGAATGGATGTAATATAGTTTCTTTTTGCATATCTTCCACCACTGGTAGTATTTTATCTGTTTTAAACACATTTAGGCTAATATCAGCCTGCCTCTGGCTCTGATATGCCAAAGGCAGTAGAATGCAATGTGTGTGTGAGTTTTAATTTACTACATCACTGCACAAATTAGAGTTAACAATGACAGCAACAGGATGGTCAGATTTAGATACCACTCAGGAGTGAATTAATCAAATGAGTAGTAGAGTAAATTATTGATCACATGACCATTGTAGAGATGGGACTGATAAATACCAAGGCATTTTAATTAATCTTCTTTTATTTATAATGCATGAGGCCTTCACTGACCATGAGCTGAGTAAAAACATCTAAGACCTGCCCTCAGGCAACTGCCATATAAACACTCGTGGCACTTCTGATAGTGTACATAAATACTGTGTTTCCAGCATCTGTAAAGTTGAATTGGACAGGATCCCAACCTATTCTTTGAGCACAGCGACAGTATCTTCCCCCAGGCCATCACCCTGATGAACACTTGACCCATGACAGTATGACTGGACAATAACCCTCAGTGCAATACCTGTAAATATACCTCATACAGGTCTCTAGTTTTAAGTACTCTGTTTTTATCCCTATTTATCTCATTTCAATGAACATTACTTGTCTGTCTGCATTGTTTACTGTCTGTTTATACTGCTTATTTTGCATTGTTTGTTGCTGTTAATACTGCTTATTTTGTTATATTACACAGCCTTATGCTGGTTTACTATTTAATTGCTCCTTGCATGGGGATATGTACATACACATTGAGAGCCGATGTGCCAGAGTCAAATTCCTTGTGTGTCCGACGCACCTGGCCAATAAAGCTGACTCTGAACTAAATAAAACAGTGGCCTTCTTACAGACAGAATTTTGCAGCTTCTAAGAGTAAAGTGGTTCTAATGAGCTTCACATTCAGCAAAGTGACATCTAAAAATACAGACTGGGAAAGCTTTTATATAAGAAAAGCTGGCGTAGCAACACTGCTCGGTTGGACTTGAGTTCAGGCAGTCCCATTTTTATTATTTTATGTGAACATCTTTCATGTGTCAAGAAACTTGGGCTCCCCCGTTTTTGCTAGCATTTTGAACATGGCTCTTGTTTAAGTCACATTTTAATCTGTTTTGTCCTTTTCCCCGCATTAACAAATCTGAAGGATCAGAAATGGCATGAGTCACAGTATGTAGGCAGAATGCTCATGCTTTAATAGTAAAGATACAAGGACACTGATGTAAACCACCAGTATTGCACATAGCAAGTGTTAGTTGCTTTGAAGCATCAACTCATTTATGTGAGCGATACACAGGTTGTGCCAAATAAAGCTCTATTCCTAGGGAGGGTAAAAAAAAAATATATATACACACACACACTTCACAAAGCAATGACTGAACTCACATTAAAGCTTTGGCTGAAGACTTAAGGTTTCTTTTTGAAAAGTAACCCAAGAGCTGAAATTTCAGAACCTGAAAAACAAAAATCTCATTCTAACTTTTCAAACACAAGGACAACTAAGAACATCAAAAACAACAACATGTAACCATCTACCCAGATGATTAGCTTCTATACAGAAATAATAAATAATCCTTGTCATAAATATTCCCCTCCTTGTCACCATTATTCTTCAACGTATGGTAACTGTACAGTGCAAAGTAGCAGTGCCGGAATCAAAATAACTGCATTGCTCGTGTTGAACAAAAATCTCAAATATTCTCCAAAAGATGCTTAAATGTTTGTCTCCCCCCCAGGTTAGGTGTGTGCATGTGGGCTGGATGCTATTACGCATTTGCCCTGTGAACAACATGACGAAGAGAGTGCAAGCCCATGACGCAACAGCCCCTGATAAGAGCAGCAATGTTGTACACCGGAACACCACCATCCACACCATGTCGCGAGTACAGCCAGGCGACAGTGGGTAACACAGGGGCTGCTACTGCGGCAAGATCCATCAGAAAGCTGTTGCTCCAGTAATGTTTGCCAACCACATCCAGTCCTGGTGACAGACTTGGTTTCTCCTCACAGACGTCAAAGTCAAGCTCCTCCATGAACCGTCGGCTCACTGCAAGCTCTGAGCAGCACATGCCAGAGTCTGTGGAGATGTCAGGGCTCTCTGAGGGAGCAGGACTAGTCATAATGGGTAGGGTAGGTATCAGGCTGGACACATTGGCAGTGGTGGGGGACAGATTTGGGAGACCTGGGAGACTGCTGGAAGCTGACAGAGGTGCATCCCTTGCTGTTGCCCCCGGGAACTTCAGCAGCTGGAGGAGCAGAGCTTGCAGGTCTGGAGACATGGACATTATGTCAGTCTGGATTACTTTGTCTTCTGTGGTCTGCTGGAAAGGTGTGCTTGAAGAGATGCCGACAGTGGTGGGAACTGAATTTGGTAAAGCTGATGGCGGCGCAGTGGATCTAAGTAACTGGCCTTCTTCTGACAGCACAGACACTGCAGGCCCTGACTCTGCCCCAGGCCCCAGCTTGCCACTAAAGTCCTGACTGAAATCCATAGCTGTGGACATAAAAACCTGCCCCAAAATGTCTGTTCTGTTGGCCATCTCATCGTTTACCAGCAGCCCACTGTCTGCCATTGCCTCTGTCCCTTGATCTCCCAGCTCCTCCCCACCCACTTCCCCCTCTGCCATCTTTTTCCCACCATTATCAAGGCTATCACAAATAAAATCCAAGGCATTTTCATCTTGGAGGTTGGTGCCACTTTGGGCAAGCTCCATGCTTTGCAGCAGGGATTCCAATTTCCTGTTTTGGATGTTGATGTCAATGAAATACTTCTGTATTCCCTTATCCTTCTCCATCAGGCTGCTCTTCATGGTCTCCACCACCTGACGCAACTGCTTGATCTCTTTGCGAGCCTCTTTGAGAGACAGCTGAGCCTCTACTCTGTGGCACTCTTCTTCAATCCAGTCTTCTCTCATTCTGCTGAGCTGGCCCTTAAGCTCCTCAATCTCCGTTTCTCTATTAAAACACACACACACACACACACACAAAATATGCCCAGTTGCACAAGAGTAAAAGTTCAACTTAGTGCAGAGCTGCTTTTTCCATTGATACAACCAATATCATCCTGCCTTAAAACCAAAAAAAGTTAGAGATACAATCACAGAGCTGCTGTGCAGCTAAAGCTCAACTAACCTGTCATGAACTCTGTTCTCAGACTCCAGCAGTTCAGTCTTCAGGTGTCTGATGGCCACTTCCTTGTGCTGCAGAGGGGTGAGGTACTGTTCGGGTTTTGGGGGCCTGATGCCATGATTGTCTCCACAGGAATGATAGTGGCTCAGGCTTACCTTTCTGTTGGGTAGAGATGTGATGATCACAGTCAAATGCCAAGTTTACCGCTCCTGAACCACCATACCATCCCATCCCATCAATCCCCAACAAGGCAGTCTGAAGCAGCAGCAGATGAATCAATTTAATGCTTAAAAGTAAAATGACTCCCTGAATGGCTGAGAGTGCACCGTCACGACAGTTGCTCCCTGAAGCCTCGAATTACTGTCTGACATAGGATTCCTGGCATGCACACTAGAGGCAAATCCCCTAGAACTCTGGTTTATCTAAATACAAGTACAACTGACAAGGAAATAAATCAACTTACTAGAAAAACTTTAACCTACAAACTAATTGCATTAGCATTCCAAAATTATTTGTATGTATTCAGAACAATGTTTTATTATAGAGACAAGGGTGTGCTTTTTTTTCTGTAAAGGGTGAGTGGGTAGATTTTGGCAATATGCAAAAGACCCTGTAAGTCCCTCTCTTCCACAAGCATAATATCCTAGCAACCTGGGATATTTGAGACTTTGATAGGAGCGCTCTGCATCCCTGCCAAAAATAGAAACAACAGAGGAGAGGGTAGCAAGTGAAACCAAGAGATGTCACATAACACTTAAACCAGGTAGAAGAAAGCTGACAGCAGGATGTCTTCAAGTGACCAGACTAGAGGGCTATAATGCATTCTGTAAACATGAGATAAAGAGGGCAGATTCTGCTACTGCATAAAAACTCAAAAGGCTCAGGGCTTTAGATTTGTTGTTTTTTTATAAAGCTGCAAGGGGATTTTTAGGTCAAACTTTATGCAGAGCTGAGCAGCCACTGAATATAAAACTGCAGGAAAACCTTTCAAGTAATACACAGCCTAAAGCACCATGTCAAAATTCAGTGATAAACATTTAAACATCATGCTATTTAGTTAGTATGCTATTAAGCATTCACTCCAGTTAGGAGATGTGCTGCAGCCAGTGCAGACACTATCTGGGTACCACATTCTGACATTTGCTTTATTAAAATCATTAATCCCAACCACAGCCAAATCATGCCCAATATAATCCCAGCCATCTAGAAAACAGGAGATGATAAAGCACTCCGATCTTAATCCAGCCACCCAATCACATATACAACGTGACGCTGCACCTTACCTGAGGCATAATCCAAAACAAGCAGAGGTGGTTTGATTTGTAATGAATCCAGTCAGGAAAAAGTGAAGGGACTGATGTGACCAGAAGGTCACAACTACTTTAACGTCGATGTCCTTGCTCTGTCTTTTTTTTTTTTTTTTAATATAGCATAATATAAAAGCAATGTTTGGTACCTGGAGGTGGGGCTGGAGTTACAGCTGCTGCTGTTGGCCAAGGAGACAGCTCTGGGAGGAGTCCTGTAGGGAGCATAGAGCTCTGCATCACGGCTGGCTGTTGGGCTTCCAGCTGGCTTGAACACTGGCAGCATTCTGAAGTGGGTGCCATGACTTTGGGGGAGGGGGACACATGCAAAACATTAAGGCACAATGGATCTTTCCTTTTTTGGTTACAGTATGGCCTAAAACAGGGTTGTTGTTTTTTTAGGTCTAGCTATGACTCAAGGCAGCATAATGACATACACATAAACTTCATACCTGCGCAAAGAAGCTTTCTTTCCAGTTGAATTGAAAGTGAGGCTCTCCCTGTTCTTCAAGCTGCCTGTGCTGCTGGATGAGCTGAAGTCTGCCTCACTACCTGCAGGGAGATGCATCAGTATTCCACTGACAGCCTTATTTGGCCTGCTACAACCAGTGCTAGCAAACATTATTGATGTTAGCATATATATTTTTATTATTTTGCTAATGCTGATTCTTCTTTTTTTGCACCACTGAAGTACAGTACAGGATTTGAGCATGTCACAGCTAAGTATTTTACTGGTTTGACCCCAAAAGTAAACACATCGTACCTCACCAAGACATATTTTTTCCTGCTTGTGGTCCAATTTCACTGTCAGTAGCTGTGGTTTGATGTAAGCTATAGTCTTGATTTAAGCCTTAAAACTTAGTGTAACATTAACACTAATGCTCACTAGCTTTCTGGGGTAACACAGCACATGTCCTGTTTTCCTATTGCCAGGTTACTGTTAAATGAAGTGGAGAATCAAACAAGACTATCATGTTTCACTATCTGTAGGCGGTGTCCCTGATAGAGCCATCAAACAGAGCACAGTGTCAAACAGATGCAACAGCTTTTTGGATGAGCTACTCTTCATATTCTATATTGTTAGACCAATAAGTTAAAATAATAGGGCATACAGATACAACACTTCATGTGATTACGAATACCATAAATTCTCCAGACTTAGCCAGTACTTACGTATAACGCAATATGCTCAAAAACTACAACACATCAAGGCCTCAGCACAATACTAAATCTTTGAACATCACTCAGCTTAATTGTTTACACAGAAAAAACTGATCACTAAACATTATGTTGCAATTCATTTCAAAGTAATACCTGAGCAGCACATTTTTCCATCAAACAAAATCATATTATTGTGTTCGGTGATGACTGGGGAAAAAATCTCCAAAACTAAGTGATCCTCCAACACTTGGTGACTCAGCTGAAGCTCTGTGGACATTCAATCAGTGTAGTAAGCTCCTCCTAATCAGCCTAATTGGCTAAGCTCCCAAACATTTTGATCAACCAACCAGCTTTCTCCACCATTCTGAATGAAAATCAAGCAGTATTCTGCCATGCTCCCAGATTTAGACAGATTAAAAAAGAGGACATGCAATTTTGGGATGAGGAGTGGATTGCACTGTTTATAATATATGTTATCAGAGTACAGATGACAGTTCACTCCAGTTATTACTCTCCTCTTAGGTAAGAAGCTGCTTCCCTGTAAGCGTTTTTTCAAGTCAGAATTCCCAGGAATCTGTTAACTGCTGACATGACAAATACACTGTTGTTGTACTCTGGCTTTTAGGGAACCACTGGTATGCATATGTATGCAGTCTACTGTGTATCATGAAAAACATTTATGTATAAACCCCCCCCACAAATTCAGATTTCTCTCATATAGTATGTGATTAGATCATGATAGTGCATTCCGTAAGTGAAGACTTCAAAGGTTGTTGATCCTCATTCTGTCTCTATTTGTTTAACCTTTTCACCTTAACTCTGTATTGTTTTTACCTCTTGCTTTCATGGCTGACCTCAGCTCCCTCTTGTGTCTTGGCATGCTCAGGGGTTCGTCTCTCCGCTCTGCCATCACCCTCACCCTCTTCACTTTGGTCTTATGCTCAGGGAGTATTGGCGATCCATGGGCGCTCTGCTCTGAGCCTGATGGGGTTTTGGAGGGGGACACAGACTGACTAGTGGGGCAGCTGGTGTCATCTATTATTATAGACAGGCACATAGGTGGTAACAGCCAAGAACAAGCAGCAGTGTTGGGCAGGTGGAAAGCACAAGCAGTCAATCAGAGCTCAAGGTTTACCCTGACTGTTATCTGACAGTTCACAGTGGCTCATTGCTTTTAAAAAGAAATAGTCAAATGGTGTCTGTGTTGTGGTTTACACAGTGTACACAAACACACATGCACATATACTGTACACACAGGCTATTTGTTAAGCAGGCCAATTTGGATGAACATAAAATATAGTGTACGAGGATTTTCTGTTTGAGCTGGCATATCTTGCCAAAACAAGGCAAAAATACTATCCAAATCAAAGATTTTAAATGTTATGACTGTATTGCTATTGATATGATCTTTTTATTGACAGCTGGTTATTTAAATATCAGGCAGGGCTGTTAAGTCAATCACGCTTGGACTGGAGAGGAGCTTCTTACCAGAGCAAAAGCTGTTGGTGCTGATGGTTCTTTTGGAGTGATCTGAGCTGATGTCACACTCCTTGCCCTCCTCCTCTGAAAAAGGTGAGTCAGACAGAGGCAATCCTTTTTCCTTGGTATGGAAAGGATGGATGACCAGACGTGGGATGCGGCTACGGGGGCTTCCTTTCTCTGGTGACTTATTTTCCTGTTCAAGGCAACATATGTAAGAGCTAAAGGCAGGGATGTAGAAACCCACTGAGTGCTATCTTAAATTTGATAAAAGATGAAATTTTGTTAGCTGTAGAGCCATTGTGCCAAAATCTACCAGTAGTGACCCCACACTGACCTCACAGACTCACCTCACACACCTGGAATGGTCCCATTATGCCTCACGTATAGCGTTTTCACCTAATGAAGGAAAATGAGGAGAAAAATCAGGTGAGTCGTTTTTCTGTGGACTGTGTATATGGCAGCGTTTTGACATGGCACACAAGCCCATTAACAAACAAGAGTCCTCTGTCCGAACTCTGGTATGTCACAGAATGCCACCCACCACCAAACACACATCCTGCCTGGTACAGATGGCACAAGAAGCCTGGAGCCAGCCATGACCAACTAACACTGATTTGAGGACTTTATAAATGAAATTCTACATGTAATCCCTACAAATACATGTTTTAAATCAGAATTTGTAATGCCCTTTAACAATCAAATCAAACAAGCATTAAATAAAAACAAGGAAAAGGTCAGGAGGTCACCAAAGGTCATTGGGGTTCCTTCTGGAACCACCAGAGTTGGTCAAAACTTTCACAACACTCCATCAAGTAGTTGCTGAGGTGAAAATTCTGACCTGCTTGTTAATAGAGGAAAAATCAGAGGATTAACAAGTCATTAGAAAATTATCACAAGAGTACTTGAATGTCTGTGCCAAATGTCATGGGAACCCATCTAATACTAGAGATAGTTCAGTTTGAATCACAAATTGCAACCCCATGGTGGTGCTAGAGCAAAACAGACGAGATCATCAGAATCATTGGGATACATTGTCTTGGGAGCCATGAATGCATTTACAAACTTTCATGGAAATCCATGTAATAGTTTTTGAGACTATTCAGTCCAAACCAAAGTAGTGAACCGCCCGACAGATTGATGTTGTCATCGTCATACAGACATGCCCCTAGAGTGGCTAGAACCACGGAAAGGGATGAGGGATGCTTTTAAAGAATAGAGTTCAAAGACTGCACCTACAGCTATAAAGAAGTATGCTGATATCTCTGTCATATTTTAGTTTTTCATTTAAATAATTTCTAAGATGATGAGTTGTCAAGCACAGAAGTAGATGAAAGGAGTCTACCCTAACTATGCAATTCTAAAAACTACACCGAGCCTTTATATCAGCTTCTACACCACAATTGCAGCTGCCTGCCAAAAGCTACAAGGTGCTTCTATCGGTGAGATACGATGGAGTTACTTTATTTCCTTCCGGACCGTTTACAAGTAGAAGCCACAGTAGAAAAAAACTCTACTGCTGAAATGTCTATTTTGCACCTACACCTTTAACCAAGGAAGAAACGTTTCTTATTGATGCTTTACATCTTATTAATGCAGAATTCCCTCCCATTGTTGAATAAACTTTAGACAGTGGCTCACTTCCTCTTGGGTATTGATTGCTCCTTAGCATGGCTGAATAATGAGGTCAGTTGCATAAGTGCATACATGTTTTTCTGTTTATGCATTAGAGATGTTGTAATTGACCCCAAGGCCTTTGTGGTGCTGTTGCAACAAGGACTCTGCACCTGTCTTCCCTAGCTTCGTCCAGATGGTGCCTTTTAAAAATTTGGGCTGGATTGAGGTCAATCCTGTCTTTATTATCTAGTTTCCCCAAACAATCCTCCATCAACAACAGACTGATATAACCACATGATGACCTAATATAAGCTATGTTCCCCTGTATGAGTAGTCCAGACTATTACAAAATCCACTTGCTCCAAACTGCCAAGGACCAAGGAGGATTGCAAAAACAGACCAGAGACCCATGGGAACTAAACTCCACATCCTATTATCAGACCTAAAAAAAGGATTGAGATCTCAGTGGTCTGAACCACTTTTCTTTTCAGCTTCTGCAGTCCCACAAACACCCACAATACCATCCTACTGTACAATGCACAGCTCCGCAGCATACTGGCACAGTAGAATCAGATTACAGGCACCTAGCGGGCCCGAGCTGTGCCCTAGCAACAGTCTTAGCAACCGAGAGAAAGCACTGTAGGAACGACTCCAGCTAGATGGAACCATTACAAGTGAAATCAGGCTTCTGCTGCTCATCCTGAGATGCTGTCCTTCACTGAGAAAATATCTATGCTCAGGTGATGTGATGGTGTTCACCATTAAGCTGTAGAGATGTTTTCATCAAACTGAATACACAGTCTGTGCCTGAGCCTACATGTGAGAGAGATCAGGGAACCATGTGACAGCCACAGCTTCAAAACATGAAATATGAAGAATCACAGATCAGTTAGACTGTAGCATTCAAAGTCAAATCTTTCAAACTACATTTTAAAATCTCATCTCATTTTCTATACCGCTTAGTCCCGAATCTTGTATTTTTTAATCCAGTTCAAGATCATCTGTCTTTGCTAATGATCACTCAGTAGTTTGCAACCTGAATCCCAGTGAAGTGTTTGGATAGATGCTTGCCCATGCATGCTCTTTGCCTTTAGTTAATTAGATTTTGTTTGTTTGCTTGTTTCAGTCTAAATTGTGGGTGCTTTTGCCTGCTTCCACAATTAGTCATGTCCTGAACTAGACCCTATAAAGTGGGATTCTATATTTGATCCTCTGCTTGACTCCAGACAATGTTGATTGGCTACCTAGTGAGCAGCAGGATAAGCCTTATCTAGGTTGCAAACACAGGATTTCCTGCTCTCTTAAGCATGGTGAACAGCCAACCTGCTCTAGATCCACAATTGTTCCAAATTCATCCAAACTTAAGCCTGGAAGGAGAGTCTGCTCTCTTAAGCATGGTGAACAGCAAAACTGCTCTTGATCTACAATTGTTCCAAACTCATCCAAACTTAAGCCTGGAAGGAGAGCAGTGATTTAGACAGTAGATGGACTGGGAAAAGAAGTCAGCATCAGAGTGTTGAGAGACTGTGTACAGGTCTGGTAAAGTTTTAAGCTTCTACTTGAGCTATTTTCTTTGTCCAGATGGTCTGCTTTTAAATCAGCATGGAGTAGATGTGAACATTGATTTATCTAATCCATATCAGTCTCTGTTTTCTAATGTTGATCATGCACTTGAACTAATGTTAACCCCCTGATGCGACTCAGTCCACTGTGCATTGTGATGACAACATCTGACACATGCTGATGAACTCCTAAACTACAGGCAGTTGTGCAGCTCTGGAAGGTATGAACGTAAATGCAGCATCTATGTCCATAGGCTCTACCTTTTATTAATAGGCACAAAATAATTGTTCTCTCTAAATAGAACCTTCATATTTGTATGAGTAGCATGTCATTCGCAATACTTGCACTGAGCTCACTGACAAACTGACATCATCATTGCATGAAGTCATTAGTGGGTATATCTCATTCACTTTCATAAATCACAGTGAAACCAATACAACTTTTAGAAAATTGTTTCCTGGGTGTAATAAAAATATTAGGTGTGTACCTTAAAAAATTACCTGCTATGATAATCCCTTTAAGATCATACATATCATATGGTTTCACAGTTCAACTTTATGGTGCTGTTAAACCCCTTTAAAATACATGAGATTCTCACAATAAACAAATAGTTTCAGCCATTACATACACCCCCTGCTCTAACCAAGGACGCCCTGAAAATGCTCTCCCTTGTGTTTACATGTTTACATGCCTCCCTTTGTCTTCCACATCTCATTACAAAGACGTTTTCACCGAGTATTATAGAGGTTTATTAGATTTTCGTCTTCTATTTCATCACGACAAGCAGCATCTCTTCTCTCACTGTTATAAAATATCTTATTTTACCTTTTAGGAGGCAGTGGGATTGTGTTCTGTTTCATCTGGCGCCCCCACAGTTAGTGGGAATGATTTCCAAGTGCGTAGATGACTAGAAATAAGCACATGCAAAATAGGCTAAAGAATAGAGGCAATGATGATGTAAACACCCGACTTTAGTGAGATGGCACCACCCAAAACATGCACGACTACGTCCGAATATTCGGGTAATCTGTAAAAATACTCGTTCCTGAACTTGTAAACATCTCTTCCTCAGCCCACCTGCTCCCGTTTTATTTTACTTTTTAAAAGCTAATGGTTACATTAGATTGCTCTTAAATTATTAATTCAACAAAACATGTTGGCTAAAATAAAGAAACCCTTTTGCCTGGATGTCTGATGGTGTTTCCTCGCGGAAAGACGTGCGTCTATCAGTGAAGCACAAAGGGTCGTTCCGCCGCCGACGCCGCTCCGGTGGTGCCAGCCTCCGCTCTGCTCCGCTGTTTGGATGTCGGGCTGACGAGAGCTGTGCGCAGGCTGAGGACACTGACAGCGCACACTCACAACGACTGCCCTGTTACATAACACACGAGACATCACTGAATCAATGACTCTCTGTACAGGAATACACGGTGCTAGGCCATTTTATGATCTCATTTAAAATGTTTGCTGTCATTTTGTGGCATTTAACACATGCTATATGCCTCCATACATTATTTCTAAATATGTTCAGTCTATTATTAATATGGGCGCTCCTCACGAAACTGCATTTTACATTTAAGAAGATCTAAAATCCTCTCCGTTCAGCCCAACAGATTATGCGCGGATTTGTGGAGTAATAGCACATTCGTTAGCTCAAGGCGATGTTGTTGACTGACTCAGCCTAGGTTATATGCTCCGAGCACATCTGCCAGTGCATGAGGCAGATACTCTCAGTGACTGGCATGTTGGCTCTCCATGGTGCTGAAACCAGGGAGCTAGTAGCTGCTCATGTCCTTATTTATGTCCATTTACTGTATATTCAAATTCTGCGTCTGCGATTTAACGCCAGTTTATCACACGGCAGCACATACAGATTTCATTTAAAAAAACAAAGAAACAACAAATCATAAATAGAAACTCGATGTTTGTTCCATCTGCACCAGTGATCACCGGAGCCTGTAAGAATCAAATAGTGTCAAATATTTATAAAAAGACCTGCGTGTTAATGTTTAGTCTTGCCAGCTTGCAGAGGGGTTCATCATTTATAAGTGCGTCAAAGTGGCTATGACGAAGCATTAGGTAATGGGTGGTGCTGAACCAAACGTACAGTATAAGCAGAAGTTTGAGTACTTATCACTGTCGCCCTCTGCTGGAGCAATAACATAGTGTCACACAATGGGTAGCAGGTCATTGAGACCACAACCTGCTTTTTATGATTGTACTGTAATGTGTTACTGTGGTGTGCTGTACATATTAACCCTCACAACAAAAATGCCCATTCCTATAAGTGAGGCGACCCCCCCATACCCATCTGAAATCCATGGAAATCCAATTATATAACTGTGTGAAATTATATAACTGTGTCAATGCTGTTCAGCATTGCTGCAGAAGAAAGCATGGGGGCGGGCCTGCCCTCCACAGAGGACCTGTACACCTCACGGTTCACAAGGAGGGCAAAGAAGACCCCTCACACCCTGGACACAGGGTCTTTGAGCTCCTCCCACTCTGGACAGTGCTACAGGTCCATGTCAGCCAAAACAACCAGACACAAGGACAGCTTCTTCCTCTGTGCCAACAGCTAACAACAGAATACAGCAAACACTCCAGTGCAATAATTAGCCACAATGTGTTTATATGTATGCATCCATGTTTATAAACACATTTTATTTTTCTCCGGTACCAGAGTCATATTCCTTGGGTGTTCAACATATTCGGGCAATAAATCTGATTCTGATTTATTTCATTTTTTAAAGCTATTAAAACATACACATTTAAGTATCTCACTGTCAATGTAAAATAACTCCATGTATGTGCTGGTAACACTACTTGATTCACACTATTCTAAAATGAAAGTTAACGGGGATGCGTTTTTCAGAGCTCCTGAGAATTATACCCCCCCTCATGATACCTGCTGTGTCTGTTCCAAATGTGCACATCACACTGGTACAGCAGTTAGCATGTCTGCTGAAATTTGCATCTTACATTTCTACTATTATTATTCTTTACCTTTAAAGACTATTATATATTTAAACTTTATTTTGACCAATATTAGGCTACTATCCTTTCAGAGCTCACACTTCACCTGATAGTTCTAGTAAACTTCAGGTAAAATACACTTCCCATGCCTGATAGTGCTTGCACTTCAACTTATCTCTGCCTTCTTTGCTTCCTTCACATTTCAACGTGGTCTTCCTCAGTGCATTTTAGCTTAACATTTTCCACTGAAATTCAACTCCCTTGATATCAGGCAATGTGTTTCAGCAGTCATATTTTATGTTCCAAAGTGTTAAGTTCATCTGTCAGATGTTAGTACAGATAACTGATTTTGATTTAAGCTCATTTATTTTTATTATACCCTCCACCATTTTAGTGATGCTTGTAAGTTCTCATCTTCTTTAGGTACAGTAATGAATATAGACTCCCAAGTTCAGCGTTGCTTTTTAGCTTTGGGCATTATTTAGCATTGCATCTCAGCCTTCAGCTATTTCATCAATACATTTCAGCCATTTTCAACAGTGCTGGGGCAGGTTTTCCCAGCAGTCAGCATTCATAAACATTTTCCACAAAAAATGAAATTCTCTCATTTGTTCTTGATGCAGTTCTTCTGCCAGGTTTACTGAAAGTACTGAGTTTGACATGCTGTCCCTCAGTTAAAGATAAAAAGATTAGCCAAAATTGTTCAGGAAAAATAACATGCATCCATGAGATAAGTCAATATAAATGACTACATAACAATAATCACTTGGACACAATATGACAGTTTTACAATAAGAAAAGAGATCTATTTATCTTTTGATCTGGTAGTCCAGGCACAGCAGAGAGGATGCTGTGAGTTAACATAGAGGCAACAATTTATAGTTTCATTTTCCTGTCATTGGCTATTACATTTGAGCATTTGAATTTGGCACTGAATCTAGGAAAGACTTGTACTTGGAATAGGCAAATCTATTTTCACTTTGAATATAATCAGATGGGCTAAATGAAATATCTTTACATTTGTGACAACTTCACTGTTAGACTGTCCTGTTTGTATATTACAGTGTGGAAATGTGCGCTGCATTATTGTAACACAAAAGCTGATCAGAATTAATGAATAATTTTAAATTCGTTTGGGTGTGGTTTAAACCATTTGGCAGTGGGAGCACTGGGTGGAAAATACCCCCACGGGGTAAGATGCCCACTCACATGTACATGTAACTCCTCTTGTGACCACCAAATATCAGCAAAACTAATGATTTTGTGTTGCATAAGTACCCTAACACCCACCATTTTAGTTTCTCTTGCTGTTTTCTGCATAAGATTTTGATGCAACTTGATGTAACGTTTTTTTTTTTGCATGTTTTGACAAAGGCGGACACATAATCTTTAGTTAGGAGATTGGGTATTTGACTGAAACAAAATATAAAACGGGCTTGTCTAATATTTACAGTAATTATAGTAGTTGAAGCTGTTAAATACAATCATACGTCTATATTTTCCCTGATGACGTGAATGCAGCGTTCGTCCTTGGGTTGTAATAAACACCAGTGGCCGCTAGAGGTCAGTAGTATCGTTTAAAATAAGTTTGATACTGATGCACATTCAGGCTCAACGCTGTGCGGATTGCGCTCACATCTTTACAAGGGCGTAGTTCTGTATATGGACGGCAGGGACGCGTCCCTACCAATGTTTGAACAAACCCGTGCACATTATCTTTGGAGTGAAGCCATATTAGGTCATTACGATGTGGCTAACTGACTGAAAGGGAGGGGGCGGTCTAAAGCTCACATTATGTGCAAATGGAATATTTGGTCACAGACACGGAGGAGGCGATAGCTGTCGGTCAGTGTACAGACAACGGTCTGTTAGAGTGGCTGGAAAGATATTCACAGAGTCGAACTTTCCAGATCAATAAGTCACAAACGAAACGTTGTTAAAATACAAACGACGCCTCTTTTGTTTCATAGTAAAGTAGACAAGTGGCTACATCCTCTGCTCCAGATAAATAACACTTGCCTAAATGTGCAGCCGGATGTGAGACGAGTGCGCAGGGACCGTCTTCAAAGTGCAACACTGAAAAGAGATCGGCCTACTACAAACATTTTCAATGGCGTTACTCTTACCCAGTATATTGTTACCAAAATTACTTCACACATTTGGGTCGTCAGCTGGTTAAATTACAGCCCGTGGTTAGGAAAAAGATGTTTTTTCATAATTTGGGGAATTTTTATTTGGAAAAATGATTTGATCCCTACTAACGTTGAGATAAAACCTACGTCCTTGCACCTTTAGGTTACATTTAAATGTGCGAGGCCATTCACTTGTCTCAGTTTATTCTCTCTCCTTCAACAGTTAATTCAGTTCCCATCCGCTCAACACAAAGTCAACTACTGAAATAACTTATCACCTGCCTTGAAAATTTAATATGAACTCCAAATATTCCATTAAGATATTTCACTTAATTCCGTGTGAGATTCTGTTACAAAATCCATGGTTTCTATAAATAGTGTCACAACTTTATGAGCTCCATATATATTCAGTCTATCTACGTGGAATCTTGGAAGACTGCATGCTCTGACAGACTTCTTTTGTTCATATATATATGAGCTTTTAGTCTAAAACAGTGTCTTAAATAGGTCTTCGAATGAAGCAAAATGGACAATAGCTTGATTTCATTATAGTTTAATTCACCGAATTATATCGTAATTAACTTCAAGTTCTTATCATCCAAAAATAATTAAATTATTATTTTTATGGATAGTGCACAGTTCGGTTATTTGCTGCGAAACTACCAGCAACCAAGTCTATCCCACACGGACTATTGTCTTCATCTTGTAGCGATCCGTTGCTTCACGTTTGCCTCTGTTTGGAGCTCTGAAACATGAAATTGTTAGGGTAGCCCTGCAGTGAGCGACCATGTGGGCGTGTTTCTTTCGACCCAGCAGGCTCTGCTCTTGTGTGGACCCCAGAGCGCGCAAACGCACTTCTTCTGGTGAGACCGGAGAGCGCAAAAGTAGCAGCTCTCCGACCCTGACGCGCACACATCTCCTGCTCCGGCGGCTGCTCCGAATCCAACTTCACTGAGTTGGGAAAAAGAGTTTCTTAACATCTGCCGGTGACTCTTCAGCCATGGACGCATCTCGAGTGGTAGCACTATATCTGGGTGTGCTCTTTGTTTTTCTTGGGGATATACCGTGTTTTCAGTGTGCTGCTATCATCACGCACTCTACGCCGAGGAGGAACAGGGGAGCCAGGATCCCTCATCAGGACGGACAAAGGTCATCCAAATTCCTAAAAGACATCTTTGCGTCTTCGCATCCTATCGTGGGCCATCACAAAGACGACCCAAAGGACGCTATTGTGCCGCATGAATACATGCTTTCTATATATAGGACATACTCGGCTGCAGAGAAGCTCGGACTAAATGCAAGCTTTTTCCGATCCTCTAAATTTGCCAACACCATAACAAGTTTTGTGGACAGAGGAACAGGTTGGTTTCAGTCCGCTGCCGCTTCCATCAGCTCAGTCTTGCACAATTCTTTGGCTCTGTTTCAACTGACTGGTCGAATATTCTCCTCTTAGATCTTGTTAATATATGGCTAAAACCTACAGTGACGCATGAACAGAGCTACAAGATCGCCGCGGCTACTTTTACGCACGCTTCAAACCAGGCAGAAAATGTTGAGTAAATGCACTTTGGTGGCACTAAGTATCAATAAATCATATGAATAAACAAAAGCAAAATCTTGGAAGCTGCAGTGCTAATTGTTGACAAGCAGCTAAGTTTCATTCGCTGCATAGTCGCCGAAACGTGAGACTTTTTTTCAAGCGCTAAGTTATATTGCAATTAATTAACCTCTGGGCAACAAGACAGTAAAACACTAATCGAGGCGCTTTCTAAATGAAGGTTGTAAACCTTTGCCAGCGCAGGCTGCAGCAAAAACCTCTACGTGAATAGGAAGGAAAGTTTTTCAGTTCTAAGAAACCACTTGCTGGCTGTTTCATTTTCCACTTTCACTGGTCTCTAAACTCAGCCACTTCAAAATGAACCCACGCAATTAAAATACAAACCAAGCTTAACCACACTCTGCATCTTTTAACAGGTTCAACCCATTGCCGTTCCGGTGCCCATTATGGCCACCTTGTGCTGACAAAGGCAGTTGGGAGGGCGGGGGGTGCTAAGGGCAGAGCGGGTCGGTGTGAGAAGCAGGTGTTTGGGTCAGTTAACATGTGCACCCGAGTGATTTGACCTGACTACGAGGGCAAACAATCTGATAAACACAAACACATCCAACCCGCACAAAGGGACTTATATAAGACGCGTTAATCTTTGCAGGCGAAATACAAGCTATCTTTGTTTGCTTCCCTCCTGTCTGAGACAGCTCTCGGACGCAGACTGCAAAAAAATGTTCATCTTGATGGCTTTTCCACATCGTCCTTTTAAAACCTCTCCTTTTATTTTTTTGAAGACTTATATCCAATAAAATCACTTAAAAAGCTTATTTCAAGTTTTGGTACTATTTCCTCAAAAACCTGGCTCCACTGAAAATAAGAGGCATTCTGTCACACATTTATAAATAGATAAAGATAAATAAATAAATACATAAGTGAACACAGTCCGTGTCACCACGGTTTCTAGAGTAAACCGATTTGATAGGAAAAACGTTTCGCTCTTTCCTGTGATTTTGAAGTGATGTGTCACTGGCTCTGACCCCGAGCTGGACCCTTTGAGAGCTGCTGGGCATCGAGCTGCTGCCTGGACGCGGTGTTTTAATGGAGTGTCCGTTCCATAAACCTATCAAACGCTGTCTATTCTCTCATAATGACCCAGCTGGGCCATGATGGACACCACCAAAACTGTGAAGTGGTTCTAGTTTTCTACTGCGGAACCTCCCTTTGCGACTGCCACTTTAATTACGATAAAATGATTTTTCCTCCAGTTCTTTTAGCCCAATTGGCTTTGGTCTTTATTGGGATTCTTCCCATCATCGTTTAAGTGTTGAACTGCATTAAGCTGCACAACGAACCTCACCTGAAAGTTTTCGTTATCACCTCTATCAGGAAAGAAACACACACGGAGGGCAGCTCTGGACACGTCTCAGAAGTAGGTTTAGAGTCTTTTGCGCATTATTCATCCATTAAGAGACAGGTTTTACTGAGAGCGTCTGTATGATCTACAGCTTCTTTGGCTTTCACACTTTTGGAGGTAAATGAATTGTCCTTTTAAAACCAGGCGGGGTGTTTCATGGAGGTCAGAAAAAGGCAAGATCAGAAAAAGAATAATGTGAATCTGGAAATTACTTTTGGCATTTGGGGTAGCTCATTAAAGCGCAGATGGTGCGGCCCGGACTCCCTCTCCCTCTCTCTCTCTCTCTCTCTCTCTCTCTCTCTCTCTCTCTCTCTCTCTCTAAACAGAGGCAGAGATGACAAAACATGTTTTGCATTTGTTCAAATACAAGCAACAAGGTCAAACAAAAGTGCACAGGATGCTGCTTTAAGCGGGCAATAAAACAATCCCCCACATTCTCCCAATTATCCACCTTAAAGAATCGTAGTCATAATGGAAAGGGGGCTTTTTGCAAAAAAATAAGAAAACGCTGTGCATTTTTAAACTGTCAACACTAATATTTCTCAATAAAATCCACCGTGTGTTCAGTCTGTGCAGGCGCGTTTAAAGGGGAATGTTGTGGTTGGCAGGATGAGATGAAATATAAGAGGGGAAGTGCTTTAATGAGGAAGATGGGAATTGAGAGCTGTTAATTATTTGGAGAACTTTTATTCGATTTGTTTCTGGTCTGACAAAAAAAAAAGCCTAATGCAAACCATACGCGCAAAGTCACTGAAAGGAGCACAAGGTTCCAATCTGCATTTACTGTTTGACTCGGCAGAGTTCACGGAGGGAGACTGACTACCAGACTCAAATGTCATTTTTGGACACATCTTACAAATGATGTCGCACCGGGGTTTACATCTAAACATGTTACTGTATGTACTTATTAGTTTGTTTGTTTGCTATTTATTTATTTTAAACGTTCAGACAGAAATGGGCACCCGAGACACAATTGCCTACTTGCTTCTTATAAAATTGACAACGTTCATCTAAACAAACAAACAAAATTTAATTCATGTTTAGGTTTAAAACCTTATATTTGAGATATTTGGAAAATTAAAATTAAAAGAAGGGGTTTCACAAACTTGTTTTGCCTTTACTCAAACTACTGATGCTCGTTTTGGCAAACAATAAAAACTGGTCTCTTAGCAAAATAATTTCCTTCTGTTGATAAAAACGGTTGAAAGTGCAAATTACAAAACATTTGTTTTTAGTGGATTTAGAATGACTAAACCAAATTATATCCATGCTTTAAATATTTAGGTTTGACAACATCATGCTGAACATAGTTCAGTTTCATGCACAATGTTTTTACTTAGAAAACAGGCTAATATCCCATTGTGGTAAAGCCTGGGATGTTATATTTGTTGGCTACGTCCAGGCCTCCTGGGTCTGCACCAGGGAATTATGCATTGATTGTGCATTGTTCAGTTGAATGTACAGTATTTTGCCTTTGGTCCGCTGTGTCTGGCAGCACCCAGGGGCCTCCACATCTCCAGGCCCCTTCTCCCTTTGCTTTCCAATTCTACGAGAGTTCTCAAAAAAGAAAACTACCTATGTTTCTGATGTTCTACGTTCGGCTGAGATTTAAGACCGTCTGGGGCTGTAAAGAAGGAATCGTTTACTTCCAATCTGCCAGAGAAGTGGCGATTAATAATCAATCTGTCATCAAGTTAAATGGGAGCAGAACTAGTCCCTTTATACATGCAGGATGTGATTAAGAGTGGCGTAGAATAAAAACGGCCAAACAGCAGGAGTAGGAGTCTGCGGCTGCAGGAATAAGGACGAACATTTGAGGTGCATGACAGATGATCAGCAGATCAACATCTATAAGGTTTTTGGAACAAGTGAGATTAGATGCTTCCTGGATATGACATGAAACTTGTTTACACTAAAATCGCTCATGTGTAACAAATTTGCAGGAAATGACATTTAGAAACCTGGCAACTACAGTTTTGGGGAGAAAGTCTTAGAGCAGGTTTTAGCTTTATCTAGTCGTTAGCATTAAAAAGATTTTATTATAGTAAAAATACCGGTGAGAGATGGTTTTAAGTGTAATATAGCGATGCCTTGATGTACGAAATCCAAGAAGGCTTTAAGCAAGAGTAAACGTAATTAACTGAGAGCCCTCCCCCCCAATTCTTATCCAAGCTGAGGACTTGTCAGTTGTAGTCTGTTTCAGCCAGGTCCAGGGTGGACATTTGAAAAACAAGAAAGAAAGAAAGAAAGAAAGAAACAGAGGAAGATGGGGGGTGGGGGTGGGGGGACTAGGAGAGAATGTGAGCCCCTCTCCCTGCCTGCATCCCTCTGAACACTGTACACCCTAAGTGAAACTGACTGCAATTATTTTCTTCCTTTATCCTTGCAGACGATCTTTTGCACTCTCCTCTGCGAAGACAAAAGTATCTGTTTGATGTCTCAACCCTTTCAGACAAAGAGGAGCTGGTTGGGGCGGAATTAAGGATATTTAGGAGAGCGACCGGGGATTTGCAGAGTTCCCTGCAGACGACGGGCCTTTACGACATCCAGCTCTACCCCTGCCGCTCCGACAGACTACTGGACTCCAGGTCTCTGGACCCGCTGGACTCCACTAAACCCAGTTGGGAGGTTTTGAACGTGTGGGACACATTTAAAGCACATCGGCATCATTATCATCAGCATCATCACCAGCATCAGCAGGGGAACCTGCTCTGCTTCCAGCTCAGGGTCACTCTTGGCAAATCAGACATCGAGGTGGACTTAAGGCACCTGGGGCTGAACAGGGACGGCCGGCCCCAGCAGGAGAAGGCCATTCTGGTGGCCTATACCCGCTCCAAGAAGAGGGAGAACCTGTTCAACGAGATGAAGGAGAAGATCAAGTCACGGAGGTCGGCTGGCCAGAAGGAGGAATCGGCTGCAGAGGAGGAGGCGGTGTTCTCGAAGGGGGCCAAAGGAGACGGGCCCCGGCGGCGGCGGAGGACCGCGCTGAGCAACCGGCACGGCAAGAGGCACGGGAAGAAATCCAAATCCAGGTGCAGCAAAAAGGCGCTACATGTGAATTTCAAAGAGCTGGGCTGGGACGACTGGATCATCGCGCCCCTGGATTATGAGGCGTACCACTGCGAAGGGGTATGCGACTTCCCCCTCAGGTCGCACCTAGAGCCGACCAACCACGCCATTATACAGACGCTCATGAACTCCATGGATCCCAGCAGCACCCCGCCCAGCTGCTGTGTCCCCACCAAACTCAGCCCCATCAGCATCCTCTACATAGACTCGGGTAACAACGTGGTGTACAAACAGTACGAGGACATGGTGGTGGAGCAGTGTGGCTGCAGGTAGCGGCCATTATCTGTTAAAGAGCAACTCTAAAAGACAGGGGAATCAAAGAGAAGTTTTAATAGGTTCCAGGTTGAAGATAAAAATCCCTGAAATGCTTTGACGCGTTCGTTCAAAAGGGATTATATCTGCTATTTAGACTCGGCACAGTCATATTCATTTACCCCCTCAGCCTCAAAGTGTTACGTCTCTAGATCCATCCATGCAACAAGTGAGTTCTCATCAAACTGGCTTTCGTTTCCCAGAGAGTGAAGTTGTCCACATGGCACAGGGAATGTGTGTGATGTGACTGAAGGCGAGGTGGGAGCCTATTGAACCCGACTGTGCACCTGTTCGGGCCGAGGCCAGAGGACAGTGGGCTTCACTTGACAGCGCTCTGTCGCAGCTCTGCCGTGTGATCCTGCCTGCCAGCCCGGAATCTTTTGGGTATGTGCATCCAGGCCGTAATTGGGGAGGGGATTTTACCTATCAACACACACACACACACACACACACAGACAATGACTGGGCCGAGGAGAGGAAATAAGATGGTGGTGGTAATGCCTTCATGAGATTATTATTATTTTTTTCTGCCTTATTGGAGACCAGCTTGAGATATGCTGGGTGAGGCGACTTGCGCTTTTGCGGACAGAAAGGACACAAAACTTGACTTGTGCCTGACTGTGGCCCTGATGTATACAAAGCACACATTACTGAGGCGAACCTTTTGCTCAAAAGTCTGCATCTTTACAAAATGCACTTCCACAACTGATTGCGCCAAGGACATGAGGTCAGCGAGACAGCTCGTCTCTGATGACGAAAATATTAGATAAAGACTCAAGACGATATTTAAATGCACATTAGCTTTGAATGCACTGCTGTTCGTTTTTCTTAGCTGTAAATATTTGTACAGTCGCAAACTTTACAAAATGCAACGAATGAAGAAATGAGAAAACGGCATTTCTTTGTAAATATACAAAATGCACTCAAATCGGTATAATTTTTATTCTATAATTATTTTAATATTTGTGATGTACAGAGTTTCATGATAATCATATATTTCTTACATCGATAAGAGTAATTTAAGGTGTATTCGATATTTTGTTTTTTTTTTGCAGAGGGTGGAAAATACAATTATTAATGTCTACCTCATAATTGCATACAGGAACTGAGGTTTGAGGTGCATTAAGTTAGAGTGTAAAGAGCCTTTACACTGATATATAAGATCATTTATTTACACATATTACTGGATAATATCCCAAACCATTACTGTACAAATAAAATTCAAAACAAAGTCCACCAGTCTGATACCTGTGATGATTACAGCCACAACAATGTTTTCAACATTGCATTCACTTTTAAGAGTTTGTGTTTGATATATAAAAAATCAGTAGGATTATCATAGGGCATTTTGTTATGACTGAAGTAAGAAACCAAAATCTTTTGTCTAAATTTCATACATAGATTGATTAAATTAGCAAAAAAGCATATTTCTTTGCTTTTTATATATTATGTAGGTCAAAATATATTTGTATAGTTTTAAGTCTATGTACAAAAACATTCAGTTCTCTAATTTTTTTATGGTAAAGATGAGAAACACTTTTTTCATTTTGTTTTTAAGATAAAAAGATCTGGCCATTTTAGAAACTGTTTAAGCTGTTGCTTTATCATATATAATGCAATGTTTATCAAATTGAACTGTGGAGTCCCCCAGTAAGATGAGCACAGTGCATATGGAGCACATATACCTTTGCCTTCAGGTATTCTAGCTAATCTATTCTACCCTGTTATACAGTCTCTCATCTCTAGACAACATATGTCACTATTCAGTGACTGGCTGGCTCAGGATTGCACCACAAAAACATAATAAACATATGGTGACCATCCAAGTAGAAGCAAATTCACTGACTGACTGTCACTGATATGGCACTGAACGTATGAACCACAGCTATTTCCCAATGAATTAGCTCGGCCTGGGTCAAGTTTACTTAACACTTTAATGTTTCCCAATCTGTGGATGAAAAAAAGACGTTTGAAAAAAGGGATTGCTTCCATATAGGCTATCGACCTTGGCCTGGAAACAATTAGGAAATTGCTTTGAAACGTTATATGTTGTCCAGGCTCTTGTACAGTATCATGTCACTCCCTACATGTTTGCTAGGGGGAAACAGAGGATGCTAAGTGCACTCTTTAGCAATCGCTGCAAATGACTGACACAACAACCATTCCCTTGAGTATAACCAAATGGCCCTCCAGGCTATATGTCTGGAACACCATCGCTGCTGTGCTGCTCTGAGCCTTGTTATCCCTCCTGCTCAGCATTGCACTTTGGGAGATACCATGCACCACTATGAGTCTCTTCAATGTCAGAGACAAGGACTTTGCAGCTGAATGTGGATTAGAAAAGAAACTTTGTGGTAACTTGTGGAGTGAACCTTTACTTTTTGATTTATATTTATGTGACAAGTTCCCCGGTCTGGTGGGCACTGGCCAAGTGGTGAGATTGAATGTTAAGGGAACAGTTAAATGTTGATGAAAGGGAAAAGAATGCTTTGTTTATCCGCTTCAGCCCCCCACTTTTAAGTTCAATGTTCCTATAAAATTCTTCATCACAACCGCCCTATTGTCCCTCCACTCCACACTGAGGATGAGAGATCCAAAAAAGAGAGTCGCACTTATTTGAAAGTTGGTCATAATATATTAGTCTAAGCAAACCGACACTTGCACAGAGACAAATCCTTTTCATCAGAAATGTGGACAATGTATAATACAAATTGTCTTGACATCCCACATCTGTGCCTGGAGGCTTCTCTTTTAGAGATGTGTAAAGCTGCATAGGTGAAGGTCTACTAGGTGTTCATCTGAGTAGAAAGCCTGGGAAAGCCTCCAAAATAATAATAAAAAAAAAACTGTCTTGGCTTGTATGAAGGCTTAAATGTCTCTCATACTTAACCTCTGTGTTATCAGTGAGGCATAAAGCACGCTAATCTTTCAGAAAGTTAGGACCTCGGAGCAAACAGAAATGTGCTAAGTTAGTATTCAGAAGCACTGGAAAATTTACTAGGGGGCCTTATGTTTTGTGTTTTGATTTTGTGAATGGATACAATTTAAATGTACAAAGTCAAAAAAAGAGGAGCTTAGTCACTGCCATGGCCTGACCTTTAAACTGCTACTGATAAAATCTAGTAAGAACTTATTTATTTTTCAGTGAGTGTTTCTCTTCTCGCAGATTTTTTTTAGCCTCTAGAGGGATCCCTCCTTCTCTGATTTCTTTTACTTCCCACCTTTAGGCTTCGCAGATAATATAGTTCCTTCTATAAAGAATAATGTATATTATATTTTTGTACAATAATTATTGGTACATTCATATTTTCATCACCTGAATATTGCAGCTGTTAAATGTAGAGCTTTTCCTAATTATTTTACATAATTTTATATCATCTTAATCTATAACAAATGGTTATATTTTATTTGTTGATTATACTTTCTATTATTAATCTGAATATGAACAACTACCAGTAACTACGTGTGTCAAATAAATGTAGTGGAAAAAAAAGTACAATATTTCCTTCTGAATCCTAGTGGAGTAAAAGTAGAGTTTCAGAAAATGGAAACACTAAATACCTCAAAATTGTACTTAAGCACTGTATTTGTAAATGTACTTAATTATTTCCCACCACAGAGAAGCACCTAAACAGATGCAGAATAAAAAACTCTCTTGCAGTTTGTAATATGTGCATTTATACACAGGGAGTGTGTCTGCCTATATGTGTTTCCATGTCTGTGCGTGTGTCAGTGGACAGAAGGGCAGCGGTGCACACAGATGGACGGATGAGTGGTGCAGAAGAGCAGCAGATGCCTGAAGTGACCCCTCCTGGTGCCTTTCATTGAACCACTGGCTTCAACACAAAGACAGGGGCGGCACCAAACATTACATGCACTTGTGCCTTAATGCCAGAGGTCACTGCATTTTGTTTTCTCTTGGGACTTTTTTCGGTAAAAGCAAAAATGGATTTTATAGACATTTTTGAAATTCCTCTTCAAATAAGAACCAAAATGGTAAAAATGGTGGCTGCACTTGGCAGCTTCTGTTTAAAGCAGAGACAGATAATAAACCCAGGACAGAGCAGCCAACATGTAACAAAAGACTGGGCTGTGTTTCTCCAATGGGGCATCTGCCTGTGTCTTCCTCTGTGGTCCTACAGAAAGCCATCCCTCCCTTCTGTCAGACCATACGGTAACAGGAAAACAGAGGACACCTCCACTTCACCACAGATAACCTGCTAATTACATTAAAGTCACACCCAGCTGGGCTTTTGAAATGAGAAGAAGCTGCCAATGTAACTTGTTTCAACTGCTGCAGAAACACATGCTTTTCCATAGAAAAGTCTTAACCGGGAAAGTCCACAGTTGTGGCATTTATAGTCAGTGTTACAGATCTGCTTGAAATACCTGTCCAGAAAAGCCCATTTTTCTTCTGTTTATTTTCTAAAGGAATGTCTGAAGGTGCCCTTTCACCCCGCCTCATCCATTTACTGCCCCTGGTCTATGTTACAGATGGTGACCCTGGTCTTCACCATCCCTGATTAACAAGCACACCTTCAGATTCTCCTGCAAATCACTGCATAAAAGAAGATTGTCCTTTTGTATGCTCATAGTCCATCTCTTTTCTTTTCTTTTTTTTGAGTGTCTCCTTTTGTTTGTGCAAGTGTCTGAATGGGCTCAAGCAAAAAGTAAATTTACTCAGTTAACTCTGACAATGCTAATGTTTGGGAGCAAGGCAAGGACATGACCTCGCTGCCAATTCACATCCGAAGGCTTGTAGAGAGGAGAGGGAAATTGGTTGACCAACAGGAACTCAACAATTGCATTCGCTAAGTCTGGACACACAGCCCAAATTAGGCCTACCATAGAGGTTTTGTCTTGTGATGTCAAAAGACAGAAATTAAAGAGTAGCAGCCCCAGTGTAGCACAGAATAGCTGTTCTATCTCCAAACCAAGACTCTCAAAGTGAACAGTGCAGTTCCTTCTCTCCTGATCCATGCTCAA